CTGTTGGTTGAGTAGTAGTGACATTTACTGTTGGTTGAAGAGTAGTGACATTTCCTGTTGGTTGAGTAGTAGTGACATTTACTGTTGGTTGAAGAGTAGTGACATTTCTTGTTGGTTGAGTAGTAGTGACATTTACTGTTGGTTGAGTAGTAGTGACATTTCCTGTTGGTCGAGGAGTAGTGACAATTACTGTTGGTTGAGGACTAGTGCACGTGACAATTGCTGTTGGTTGAGGAGTAGTGACATTTACTGTTGGTTGAAGAGTAGTGACACCTCCTGTTGGTTGAGTAGTAGTGACAATTGCTGTTGGTCGAGGACTAGTGACAATTACTGTTGGTTGAGTAGAAGTGACATTCACTGTTCGTTGAGTAGTAGTGACATTTTCTGTTGGTCGAGGAGTAGTGATAATTACTGTTGGTTGAGGACTAGTGCACGTGACAATTGCTGTAGGTTGAGGAGTAGTGACATTTACTGTTGGTCGAGGAGTAGTGACAATTACTGTTGGTTGAGTAGTAGTGACATTTACTGTTGGTTGAGGACTAATTGCATTTACTGGTGTTGGAGTAAGGCTTTCTTGTGATGGTCGCGAAGTCGTGAGGCCATTTCCTAGAAACATTGAGAAAACAATTGTAATCATATAGTTATTACGAAGTAAGGTATAAAATTGTGTCGGTACATTGGACGGCTAATAAATGATAAAGGAACGGACTACAGATATAGAAAAAAATTACGGTCACCTGACATTGTTTAGTTTTCTGGAAACACAATTTTCCTGTTTTCACATTCTTGTATGATGTTTTTACACAAGTTTTACAAAAAAATGATTAATTACGAATCTTGGTGTTTACTAAACTTGACTTTGCATGTGCAAGCAGGCTAAGTTATAAAGATTTGAAAACGATTAATTAAACTCTAAAACACTCTGGTTAAAATTTTCTTGGTGCTTGGCACTGACTGGTTGATTGAGTCGAACAGGGATTTCGGAGCCGAACAGGGTTTAGTTTTGCGTTAGGATAGTTTTTTCTACGTTATAAAAACGGAAACCTTATTTTGAAATATGCTTTCTAGCAATCACCCTGATTGAAAATGTTGTCAAAAGTACCTTCCGCCCATTTTGCAATAATTACTGAGTAATAAATGAAAGTTTGTAAACAAAGTAAGAGTCGCCAAGTACAGATGTTTGAATAAATATTTAAAATATTGGTAACCCCATGCAGTCTGTTGCTTTTATATACTCTAAACCTTTGTGAACAAGCAGTTTATACAGCTAGTAATATAATAAATAGCCTGCGTGGTAGGCGGTATTTCTACAGGCAGCGAAAATTAGGGAGGCAAAGGTATTTCCTAAAAACCGCCTGCCACGCAGGCTATATAATAATAGAACATTTTCAACACATTCTATAAATGCGATAAAATCGGCAATGGTCATGTCCCATTCGTATTTATCAGACCTTTAAGAAGCGCTGATTGGCTGCTGTGCATGACGTTTCTATTCTGCAACAAACTTTGTGTGCTCATGCATAAAGCTTGGATATATAGTGAAACTGAAGATTGTTCATCAAGCTTTGTATTAGAAAACATCTGAACTCCACAACGGGAATCGAACCCGTGTCTCCCGATTGCCTGTTCGATTGTTTTACACTAGACAAAATAGGGTTTTATACAGCAATGTTCCTACTTAAAGACTCAACATACTATTTTGTAATGCGATATTGTAGGCAGTGCATCTTGCAACATACAATATCGCATTACAAAATAGCATGTTGACTCTTGATACAAAGGACGCACATAAATTATAGGATATTGTCTGCAGGTGCACAAATTTAGGCGCAATGAGTTATGATATCTCCGCATTTTCTTGCAATATGCGCTGTTTTACATTATTTATATACATACAATATGAAAACTGTATTTGTACAATATGAAAATTTGGTCTCCGAGCTGGGAGACTGCATGTCGATTATATATAGTCAGTATTCTCTTGGCCTAAGTCTAACGTTTTAGCGTTTATTTACTTAAGTACAACTTAAGTACAAATACATGCAATTTTACTACAACGGAAACAGTGAAATCACACTAAAACAATTAGGCATACCTTGCGAAACAAGAACGGCAACCACACACAATATAAACCAATTCATTTTGCGCGAATATCCAACGCGCATTTTAGTATCCCTGCAAAATTTCAGTTGGTCAAGGCACTTCAAAACCACTTTGCTTTGTGTTTCCTCGCCGCTATCTTGAAAGGGAATGTTAGAATTAACTCCGTGAGGGTGGATTTAATAGAACAGATAATAAGACTATAAAACATTAATTCAACTAACGAACATTGAATGTCTACTGAGAGTAAAGCGCTGATCAAACGATGACGAGAATGCATGAGAGTTGGAAACCACGCGACCTTTCTTTCCCAACACTATTATATGTATGTTATTTAAGTTAAACGTATTATTTTCTTAATCTAGGGGCGCTTTCCATTAACACGGCCAGACCGGTCAAATTATTGAATGGAATACAAAACGTTTGGTCTTCGGACCTATCTGACCGGAAAATTTAGATAATATAGAATGAGGTCCATTTTGCTAGCTATTTGAGAAACCTAGACCAGATCTTTTCATTTGTACAGAGACAAAAAATTCGGGTCTGACCGGTCAGGCCATTAAATGGAAAGCGCCCTAGAGCTTAAAAGGTCCCCTGTAACAATGTGTGACTGCCCAAGTGCCAACTTCTCATCAACTTATTCAACTCTCATTTTTATTCAGTTTGATCGGGGTCATGACTCATGAGTACACAACGACATGTACAATGTCCAGAAACTCGGCCTTCGACTAGATTAGGCTGCAAAGTTTGACAATGTAATCCCAATAATATTTAAAAGGTAAATAGTAAAAGGTTTACTCACCCGTAATAGGTTTCGCCGACCTTAAAACTCTGAGTTAAGAATCACTTGATAAAGCTCTTAACGGAACTTTGCGAACATGAAGCTGTTTAATTATTCAAACCTGAATCAGACGTGCGTAAATGTAATACGACACCGATTCTTGGAAGTAAAAAATGAAAGCAAAAGGAATTATAATTCTTGATACTTCACTATTAAACTTATGATATATATTTAGGATAAAAAGGATAATGGAACACAACATAATAAAAAATTAAGTTTATTTAATAACAATTTTTTTACTAATATTATACACCCTACATTACTACATTACTATAACACTCTCAATAATGCTAAACTAATACCTTATTACAGTTTCCACCTTATGACGTTTTACTAGAAAGCTGTGGGTACAAAATATACTAATTTTTACAACTCTCTCTATGATCAGGTATAGTGTACATCTAACAGCTGCATACCCACTGATCTCTAATTAAAAGAAAGTAAATCGTGATACAAAGACCTGAGTTAGGGAATAATCATTTCAATTTTCGAGGAAGTTTTTGATCGTTAGAGCTAAAGGATTAATGTCTGGCGTTTGTTATATTGTTTTGTGAAAGTAATCAAGAAGCCAAAAATAACAATAAAAAAACTTTGGTATGATTTTATAGGTAATAGTATAGTTTCCAGTGCAATTTAGCCATGAACGGGTGAGTTTTTCAAAGACGATCAAACAATTCGAAGTCTTTGAAAAACTTGCCAGTGCCTTTCTCACGTACGCCGCCATTTTTGGGTGGCTTTTCAGTCGAAGTCTGCGAGATAAGTCCACATAACAGCGACTTTTTATAATTTTTTGGACGAATGATGGTAAATTTGCTTTGTAAATGGTTAGTTTATTTTGAAAAATTGTTTTTCACAGTTTTTTAATTGTCTGCATTGGTCATAACGAGAATTAGATGCCACCGCCAAAAATGGCGGATATTCGTCATCGTGAGAAAAGCTAATTGGACGAGAAACCATACCATCACTTATTAATAATACACATGGAAATATTAGACAGAGGCAATTGACCACTTGCGTAATAGACAAAATTTTCATCTCAACAAGTCTAGACAAAAATTTCATCACAGCTTGAAAAGAGCATCACAAAATTAGTAATATTCCAAAGTTTCGTAGCGAAATGTTGTAAAATGCGGATAATATAGCCTTGCGAAGTTTGCCGTTTTTCAGTCATTTTGTATTACAAACGGAAATTGACAGACCCAAAGGGTATTGGTCTGTCAATTTCTCCCGCGTAATGCAAAATGACTGAAAAACGGCAAACTTCACAAGGCTATCATATTATCCGCATTTTACAACATTTCGCAACGAAACTTTGGAATATTACTAATTTTGAGATGCTCTTTCAAGCTGTGATGAAATTTTTGTCTAGACTTGTTGAGATCAAAATTTCAATTCACACATGAAAAAAATATGTAGAGGCAATTCATATGAGTCACCTGCATGCATGAGAACATAACAAAGTCCTGTCACTAAACCTTTTAATTAAAAGAAAATTAAACTGTTTCCTCGAAACAAGTGAATATGTTTGTTTTGTAATACTATATGCATTACCAGAGATCGATGCATTACAAACTAATCATCGAAAAAATGTAGATTTATACTAATCATAAATTGAACTAATAATCCGCTTTGACCATTACATTGCATTACATTACATTACATACACTGCATTGCATTGCATTGCATTGCATTGCATTGCATTGCATTGCATTGCATTGCATTGCATTGCATTGCATTGCATTGCATTATCTTTCATGATCACGGTACTCTGTAATCTTCATATTGGTTTCTCATCAGAGCTTGGAGTCTAAAATAGAGAATTACACGTTAATATATAATACAGGTGGCAATTATCTATTGATAATTTGTTGAGTGTAATTTTATAAACACATGATTAACTAATTATAATACCCTAATTCTAAATTAAAGTATACCAGTCCTACATCTGTACATGTAAAATAAATATGTTTTCGCCCGTTCGAATTCTTATCAATGAAATTTTTTAAATCAACATTCAATACGTATTTATGATGGGCTATATTGTAAAAAAGCATCTTATAGTTTTGGAGCTTCTGGTCCCCGTTTTACTTATAAACCTAGGAGGTTCACGGCCTATTTGCATACGCCGACTATTCTATATATGGATTTTAGAAATATTATATACTAATATGGGCGGACCATTTGATGGGGTAGATTTTCATTGAGCCCGATAATATTTTTAACCTCCTAATGCTGCTCGATATTTTTCTGTCCTTCAAGGCTCTTGAACGATAACGTATTGAACTTAGATATTCTTTTGCTTTGTGATTTTGCAGGTTATGTGGGGTTATAGGGGCTTCGGTGGCCAAGTGGTTAGCGCACTTGCCTTTCACCTCTGAGGCTGCAGGTTCGAATCTCACTAAGTACCTTCTCAGTGCGACTCGAACCCAGTCCCCATGTGAAAAGAGTAAAAGTCAAC